AAAGTTATGATGCGGGCATAGAACCTATATGGTTATTAAGACTGTTGATAACCTACAAGAGAGTGAATCCTTGGGAATTCTTGGGCAAATATCTTTAACATAAAGTGGAAAGATTATATTGAATCGATTGCTAGACCTGCTGCTAGGAAACTTGGTTCACTGTGTCATGCTAGACAATTTTTCTCTTCTCAATCTATCTGTATTCTTTCAATTGACTCATTGCATCTTCTTGGACTAACATTTCTGTTGACATAAAGTGGAAAGATTCTATTGAATCGATTGCTAGGCTTGCTGCTAGGAAAGTTGGTTCAATGTGCCGTGCTAGACAATATAGCTCGCCAGAATCTATCTTACACAATTATAGGTCTACAATTCGTCCATGCATTGAATATTCGACATATACAAGGCACAGGGGCTACTCGAGGTGGTGGGTTACAAAATAAAATACTTTATAAGAAACCGGAAACCTAATCTTAAACAGGAAACAAGGCATAAAAACCCGGGCAGGAATGTGAACCTGGCGATAGGCGAACCTATCTACTCCTATTGAAGAAGGGGGATAACTAGAGGAGTCAGGTACCTGCATGAACAGTCGACTTGATAGTCAGGCAGTCACATCCACAGGAGACGCGTGCACAGGCGTGATACCTTGAGTGTAATTGTCTAGATTGGATTCATCAGATTGAAAGAAAAAATCAAATTACTTAGATTACTTTATTATATATATATATATATATATATATATATATATATATATATATATATATATATATATTATTTATATTATATGCGGGTACTTATTAGAAAGCGCTCAATATCAGAGATAGAGCTAACATATTTGGTTGAATTGATGTGAGTTTGTGACCCTGGGTCAAAAGTTTGTCTGACGTTCGCAAAAGCGTGAAACCCAGGGTCACAAACTCACATCAATCCAACTAAATATATATATATATATATATATATATATATATATATATATATATATATATATATATATATATATATATATATATATATATATATATATATATATATAAATTTCAAGAGGATAGAATCCAGGTCGAACTCAGTGTCCAGGACAAAGTAAGAATATAATAAAAAATAAACACAAATATTCCATGGTTATAATTTATTCCATTGGATTCGTAAATACGATCCAATTCATCAGACCTACAAATTCAAAAAGAAATCAGAAAAAAATAACTCTTGGAATAAAAAAATAAAAATTAGTGAGAGTGGGGGGTTGCATGTGAGAGGTAAATGAAAGCTCTAGAGAGGGGGTTTAACAGACGAGAGAAGAACAGGAAAGCTTAAAAGTGAAGGTGGGGATTAAAATTTAACAGAGAGAAGTTTTTTTAAAGAGACGATCTAAATGACGGCTTAAATGAGTGAGATGCAGATAAATATGAATTATTTTCCATTGCATGTTAAATATATTAACCATCTTATATGTTAGTTGGAGATCCCATGCAGTGCTTAACACAATTTACGGATAACTAAGACCAATCTCTCTTAAGCTCAAACAAAAGCGATTGCAGCTTGCAAGACCGTGCCACCGAGTTACGGCGAGTTCGTCTCATCCTTACTTCTATGGCGTCGTTCTGGAGGTGTCTTCTCGCGAAAGTTAACTTTCCCAGACACCATGGCTCGGGACTCAGCGTTAGACATTGTGGAGCTGGGGATATCAATGCAGGACCGAGCAGTGTGGAAAGGGATTGTTTATAAAGTTCCGACCGGCCACAGGGGGGTCGAATGATGATGATGATGATGATAGATTAACCAAATTTTTAACCTTACAGTTCAAAAAGTTTGAAAGCACTCCAGAATTAGCATGGGATTTTTTTTAAGCGTTTCACCCCAAGCAAGGCGAGAAGCCACTAGGACGCAAGGGGTTACAGAAAATTTGGTTACAGATAGGAGTGATAGAAGAAAGGATGAAAAGGGTAGTGGATAGATCAAGGCAACTGGAGATGCCGATTGACATTACATTTAGATGGAGATTATAGCTCTCAGGGAAACTGGAATAGGGAAGGGAGTTCCACAGGCGAGAGGTGCGAGACATGAAACTATTGGAGTAGAAGAGACGGCTACATTTAGGAGTTTCGACAGTGAAAGGGTGAGAGCGGAATGCCAGCCTCGTAAGGCGCTTGAACTCATGAAGTCTGGGAACCAGCGAATGCAGCTCCTCGGAGCAATTACCATGGAAGTATTTGTAAAAAAGACAGAGAGAGGCGACGGCGCGTCTGTGAGAGAGCAACTGTAGACGAGATGCCAGATCAGGGCCAATTATATTACATATCCGCCTTTGGAGCCTATCAAGAACCCCGAGGCAAACAGAGGGGGCACCAGACCATATATGGCAGCAATACTCCATGCAAGGGCGAATAGTTGATTTGTAGATCTGGAGGATCGATTCCAGGGAGAAAAATTTCCTCGTGCGGCACAGGGAGCCAACTTTCCTTGCGGTGGACGAAGCAATGAAAAGTGAAAAAAAAATGAAAAAGAGTTCAAAGCGTCATTGAAAAAAGAATGTAATCAATTATCAAACTTATACTTTGAGAAACTTTTGCAACGAATGCCAAAAATGTGTGCTGCAGTAATCAAGGCTGAATGATTTGATTGTTTTTTACGGCTTATCAACCCTTTGCAGGTTATTCACATCCATAAAATATTTTCAAATCGTAATTCTTTTTGGATATAATAATAATTTTACTAATACAAGTCCAACTAATTAACCCATAGATGGGGAGATAAGAGGTAGTTTCATACATTTCCCAAGATTATTTGAATATAACAAAGTCGACTGGAATTGGAACTCGGCTCGCCAATTTCAAATTCCGACTCATTATCCATTCCACCACCTGCACATCCAAGTTTACAGCACATGGCATTCCCAAGTGGTCATCCATCGGGCTACTGACCATACCCGCCCCCGCGTCATGACCGTAATCCAGAAATCAGAGAGTCGAGATCGAATTCCAGTCGAGCTCGTTACATTCACAATAATGCCAGTAAGACGCAAGGGGCTAGTGGAAGTGAAAGAGAAAGAGAAAGACTTTAGAAAGAATCCTAAACAGCTAACAAAGAATAAACATGTACTCCTTTGCAAATCGACCAGGGGGTGTGTGAACCGGGCGATAGGTAAACCTATGTATTCCTATTAAGCATCGTTGAATAGCGGTACATAATCACAAACAAAGAACTGTACTAAATAACAAAAACACATGACAACACCAGTAACAAATAAAATGGTTAGCACATGTAACTCGAAAAGAAAATAATAACACCCTCATGATGTTAACGTTCCACACTACTTCAAACAAAAAGTTAGGAAGGAAACCCCCATCAAAATTGGAAAGAACAATAACAAATAGACTTTGGAGACCTATTTTCCTGAAAAGTTGTTTCAAGAGAAAATTTTATAAATTTCAACCAACAGTAGCACTAGCTTCTCGGTCAATTAATACCAATGTTACTACTACTTTTTCTCCAAAAATATTCTGTTGCATCTATTGTCAACCTTAACAGGATGATATCACTGTCACCTATTTACAATTACGTTTAATTATTCCAATGCAAAATAATAACGCGTTTTATGAAAAACTGTTAATAAAGCCATTAATAAGTTATAAAACCAGTAACTGCTGTAAATAAAAAGCTACGATACATTAACAATTATGAAAAAAGTTAATGAAACCATTAATAAATGATGTAAAATCAATAAAAAGATTCAATGAAACCATTAATAAACGTTATAAAACAATTAACTGTTTTAAAACGTTAATGAAACCATTAATATATATTATGAATCAATTAACAGTCGTAAAAAATATTGAAACTCTTAATATAAGTTATAAAACGATTAACTATCGTAATAAAGAGTTAATAAAACTATTAACAGATGAATAAAACCATTAAAAGAAATTAATGAAACCATTGATAACAATAATGAAACCATTTCTTTGTAAAAGAACTATTAATGTAAGTTATACAACCATCAACTGTTGTAATAAAAATTTGATGACGCCATTAATGAATGTTATAAAAGAATTAAATGTTAGGAAAAAGTTAACGAAACCATTAACAATTCTTATAAAGCTATTAACTTTTGTTTCAACAACTTAATAAAACCATTAAAATGCTAGAAAACAATTAACTTTTGGATTAAAAACTTAAACCATTAAAAATGTTATAAAACAACTTTTGTATGAAAAACTTAATGAAGTCATAAAAATATTATAAAACAATTAACTTTTGTATGGAAAACTTAATGAAACCATTAAAAATGTTATGAAAGAATTAACTTTTGTGTGAAAAACTTAATGAAAGCATTAAAAATTTTATAAAACAATTAACTGCTGTAAACTCTTGTAAAAAAAGTTTATGACACCATTAATAAGTTATAAAACCAGCAGCTGTTTAAAAAAATAAAAAATAAAAAACTAATGAAGTCAATAGTAAAAGTTGTAAAACCAATAGATTGCCTGAAAAATTGGGACCCCATTAGCTGCAACACATTTACCGGGACAAGAACGTTTCTGCAAAATTATATAATCAACAGTTTGAAAAGTTTTAGCGAAATTCATTCCTACTATTTCTTAATTTCGGTTCTTATTCCGACCCAACCCAGACCATTCCAACAAAAAGCGAAAATTACAAGTCTCTAGAATTCATTTTCAGAGAACATAAGTTAAAAACAAAAGTGTAGTCTCGTGCAATCTCGTCGGATCTCATCTCGTCTCGTCGTCTGCTAATAAGCCACACACTTTGTTCCCAGTCATAAAAATAATTCCTTTTGAAGTTTATCTCATATAGCGACAATTATACAGAAATAATTCCTGCCTGTAGGTGATCGATAACTAACTTTCCTAATAAATCGATCAAATTGTTCGCTAAGAAAAAATGAAACGGTTAGAAGAGGCAGAAATATACTTGTAGGAAGTAAAAACTTGCAGATTGCCGTTATGTATGTATGTATGTATGTATGTATATATGTATGTATGTATCTATCTATCTATCTATCTATCTATCTCAGTCTGTTCATATCTATCTGTTTATCTCATCTTGTTCATATCTATCTATCTATCTATCTATCTATCTATCTATCTATCCCATTTTGTTCTTTATCTATCTATTATGTGCGATGTGTAAATTGTCGCCATTTTTTATATTTTTACTTCCGAGCATGCGCGTTGTTTATTTTTGATGTTATCGACTGCACAGTATAGTAGGGTCAGTTGGGCACCGTCTGTTAGAAAAGGAGCACCATGACGCCAGACATTTGGAAACCAAATATGAGGAAACAAAGTCAGGGGAAAGAGCAAACCAACACATCTACACACGCACACACACAAATATATATATATATATATATATAAAAGAAATAATGAATACAATAATGAATAATACAAACTTACAATCAGCGATTGATCGGAATATCTAATGTTATTTTATGATTTAACTTTTGCTAAAAAATGAAATTTGAGTTGCAAGTAAGTTACAATTTTTTTTTATTGTTTAATCTGTTTTTACATAGCTGTCAAATTTTATTATATTTAGAATATTTTAAAGCTTATTTAAAGTTTTCTCTTTCAGAATTATGTTGACTAATCTTTACATGTGTGAGAGCCAACAGCTGACTGACAGGAATGTTAACCCGCATGATAGCATGCAAAAAAAATCGATAGCTGCATTCGTCACAAGTGGGAAAAATTTTAATTTGCATGGCACTTTACACCAATTGGCTCATTCGCTTGCTTAAACTCAACGTTGATTCTGATTCCGCAGAACTGGGTTGGCTGTGAAAAAGTATTTGTTGTTAACATTCTTTTTTCATTCGGTTTTTCCAGTTACGAGTCCTTTTTTAAAGCTGATCATTTTGTGTTCATTTTGTTTAGTTCTTTTTTCGTAACAGATTTAATGTTTAGTATAGAGCTTGGAAAAAATTCGCAGTGTGAGATAGGCAAGAAGTAAGGCATGTAGCAACATCAGCACGGCAAAGGGCACTCCTTTAAAGGCAAGGAAGGGCAAAAATATTTTAAGTCAAGTGATAGCGATTGCTGTATGAATCGCACGATTTTTGAATCAAGCACGGCCAACGCCGGGCCATGATCCTAGTTATTTATAAAAGAGACACAGACAAGTTACGCTACGGCAGTGGAAAAGTGACTGAAGCCGAGTTGCCAAGTCAGGACCAATAACATTGCAGGTTCTTTATTGAATTTTATCAAGGATCCCTAAATTTATAACAGAAGCACCAGATCAGATGCGACAGCAATATTCAATGTATAGATGAATGGTAGACGTATAAATAGGTAATAGATTCTGGCAAGAAAAAAATTCCTGGCACGACACAGTGAACCCACTTTCCTGGCAGCAGAGTTTTCATTCAAAGGAACGAGTGGTTGCTTCAAGACCATGTAGAAATTATTCATATTTTTTAACGATTCTAGCTCTTATATCGTAAATAAAAAAAATTGATCCCAGACATATGCTTAACTAAATCTCACCCCAATACTCGTCCGTTTACCCATTCTATGGAGAAATTAGCTTGCGTTAGTAGCGTTCATTGTAGATATGCATCAAATCAGACACTTCCCTGACTATGACGCCTTTATTAACCTGAAATAATCTATCAGACATAAGTTGCTAATCCAGTTCCGGACGGCTTATCTTTTGAGAAATCTACCACTTGTGGCCCACAGGAAATAAACTATTTTTCAGACAACTAAAAAGTCACAACTTTCATTTGTTCAAACAAAAGCGCACACAATGCACATACGATAAGTAATATGCAGTCCGGTACCCAGCTGCACGCAAGCGTGAACCAAAATTCACTATCGACGTACTGTCAATATCGGACAAAAAAAAAAACAGCTTCATGGGTGAAATGGTTGCGTGTTTTGAATTGGTAGTTATCTAACCGAGACTGGCTGTAACTCGAGTACTGTTTCTTTTTAGGCAGTCTCCTTCCACATCGAAGACTGGCGCAACACAATCATTGGTTATTGCCTGTTAAGATACTTAGGATGTCATGGACCGAACATGTGAGCAACGTCAAAGTTTTAGAGAAAAATACAAGCAAAAAAAAACTTATACTTAACATTAGAAAGAGAGAATTGAAATTTCTAGGGTACATAATGATGAAAGAGGGTTTGGAGAATCTGATACTCACAGGACAGATTGTAGGCGAGACAATCATTCTACCACCATCTAGCCTTTTGCTATTCAGATTATGCCCCGTGAAAAGGTTAATTCTTCCTTTTTATGTGCCGTGTCCTTTCAGGACGTAGGCGATCATGGCCCTCCACTTCACCCTATCCCTTGTGGCTCTCAAAGGGTTTTGTGTTTCTGCCAACTCTCCCAGACTATGCTCCACTATCCACCTGCCCAAGCCCGCCATGTATGTCATGCTTTTTTCTGTCTTTTTTTCCCTCTGTTCGTCCCGTGAGTATCAGATTCTCCAGGCCCTCCTTTCTCATCACGTGTTCCAGAAATTTCATCTGCCTCTTCCTTATGTTAAGCATAAGCTTCCTCTTTGTTTGCATCCTTTCCAAGATCCCATCGTTGCTCACACGCTCGCTTCATGATATCCTCAACATTCTTCTGTGGGACCACATCTCTGCCGTCTCGAGTCTCTTCATCATCCTTGAGGATACCGTCCGACATTCGCTGCCGTATAAGAGGACAAGTATCACGTAGCTGCTCAGTACTCTTTACTTTGTCGCCATAGAAATCCTCTTGTTTCGCAGTACTCTGCTTCTGAAATGCATGATTGGCTATCTCAATCCGTCTTTGGCTCTCAGTGTTGCACCTACCGTCCTCCGTTAGAACACTTCCCAGATACTTAAACTCCTGCACATATTTGATTTTAGTACCCCCGCCTTGCAAATCGCAAGGCTCATCCGAAAAGGGCTCATCCGAAAAGGGTAAAACATATTTTTTTTACGGTTATCTTCATCTTTGTTGTTCAACCGGTGGTTCCTCGGTGGACATTTTTGCATTATTTTCCTAGTTTTTTTTTTGTTTTTTTTTAATTCTGTTATCTTTTTGTCTCATTAAAGTTGATATTTTTTCTCGTATCTGTTGTATTTTTTTAGATTAAGTTATTAATACTTTTTATCTTAGTGTTTTTTTTAGAAAAAATACCTATACTTCGCATCAGGAAGAGACAGTTGAAATTTCTAAGGTACATAATGAGGAAAGAAGGCGAGGTAAATTTGATACTCACAGGACATATTGAAGGCAAGAGGGACAGAGAAAAACAAAGCATAATCTTTCTGACGAGCTTGAGTAAGTAGATGGCGGGGGAAGGTTTGGGAGGGATAGCAAAAAGGAAACATTTATTAAGGACGGGAAATTATGGAAAAACTTGATCGCCAACGTTGTGAAGAGAGATGGCACATAGAAGAAGAAGAAGAAGAAGAAGAAGAAGATGTACGGCACTTACGTTTTTATAACTAGAATCAGAGAGCAATAAATACTCGCCTCTAGGTCCTTCTGAGCCAATAACACTTGTCGACTGAGGATATTTTTTACCAAGTTTTCCAAGATATCGGACACTAGATAATCCTTTCCAAAAAACAGAAACTATGTGTTGTGGCCTGTTTAGAGACCAGAAAGAAAGACACGGAAGACGAAGGTAGGTTCAACAATTGTATTGAAATAATAGATATATATACAAAGCAAGAGTATTAGTAATAAGCAGTTAGAAGTGTCCGTCCGAACGGTAGGGTTACACTGCGTCTCAGCTGCTCACAACTCTGCTTTGGGATTGGTTTGGTTTGTTTTACGGCATATCAATCTCAATGGGTCATTTAATGCCGACAACTTTTTTTTTTTCCTGGTAATATTTTTGTTTTGTCAAAAATCTATTTCTGGTAATATTTTTTTCCTCAAAAATGTACAGCTGGTAATATTACTTTAAAAAATGTATTGCTGGTAATAGTTTTTTTTCTTCAAGAATTTATTTCTGGTAATAATTTTTTATGCGGAGAGGTAGGGTTTGGTTTGGTTTGGTTTGGTTTGGTTTATGGCATATCAACCGCAATGGGTTATTTGATACAGACAAATTTTTTATTGCTGGTAATGTTTTGTCAAAAATCTATTTCTAGTAATATTTTTTTCCTCAAAAATGTATAGCTGGTAATATTATTTTAAAAAATGTATTGCTGGCATTATTTTTTTTCGAAAACGTATTGCTGGTACTAGTTTTTCTTCAAAAATTTACTTCTGGTAATATTTCTTTTACAAAGTATTTCTGGTATTAAAACCTAGTTTTACACTTTCATACCTCAGTTTCGGGATTAACTATTTGCCCATAGCTGGTACCCTAACAGGTGCTACCACTCCGGGTCAGGGTGGACCTGGGAACACCAGCAATTAAGAGGTGGTCCCACGCTCCTCAAAACCTTCTGATCAGAGGCCTTGCTGTTGGACGTAGTTTATCATCTTACCCAGGACACGGATGTAGTTTATCGTCATACCCAGGATGGACTCCGCTCCAGGAAGTCTCGCAGTTAGTATTTATGAGAGGAGGAAGAGTTCATACTACTGTAGGAGGGTTTATCACAACACTATGATTTGCAATTGGAATGGAAACAGTGATGACACCTACCCTGAATCCATCATAAAAATTTAGGAATTAGTAAATACTAAACACGTCTAATAAATAGTACAGGAGAAAAGATAAGTGTACATAAAATAAGTTTCACTCGAGGTAGATTCCAAGTTTCTATAAAACCGAAACATTAACGTGAAAACTCGAATCATGTTCTTAAATACCCCCGTCAGATTAAGACTTTCATATGGATGCCATGTTTAGTGCCAAACCTGTTCAGAAATATGTAAACGGTCAGCTGTATATAGTCACTTTCTAAGATCAATGGTTAAAAATAACTTTAAGCGTATAAATCATGAGGTTCTTGGCAAAAGCAATTCCTCTTTGAATATTCTTGACTGGCGCTACAGAATCACAAAGAACTGTACCAAATAACAGAAACCACATTACTTGAGGACTATCAACAGCCGCAACAACTAAAATGGATGCTATATGTAACTCTAAAAGAAAACAGACATAATCAAAATATTCCACACTACTTCAAATAAAAGGTTAAGGAGGGGACCACCATCAGTACCAAAAATTGCAATAACAGCTACTCGACTTGAGAAACCTATTTTCCGGGAAATTATTTTTTAAAAGAAAGATTTTCTGGATTTCAACTAAAAGTAATACTGGCTGTTCAGTCAATAAATGCCTTATAAGGAAACAGTTAACGGATACTCATATTTGAATAGATGTTCCATTTATTTATTAAAAAGTGATTTTATTTAATTTTGGACTAGATATTCAAGAAGAGCACATTTTTCTTTAATAATATTTTTTGGATTGAAGAATCAGAGAGCTGAGTAAATCCATTACATTGACTTATATGCTAGGACAGGATAGCTGGCCACTCGTATTCGAGGATACCAGTCTACTAGGGCGGTAGCCAGTCCCTATTGCAGATGCTTGCTCAGGCGCATTTGTGTTTATTCAACATCCACAGAGCCCACCTGTGGTTTATACTGCAATTATGCTGAGCAGACCTTAGTTACAGTTTCTGGGGAAAAGCATGTTACCTAGTGTGTTCAACAATTTGAACAAGGCCAGCATGCTCAAGCTCTTGGCTACAATGACCTGTGACTTCATGCTAGCATATTCATGTTCTAATACTCTTGGGAAAGGTATGAATCTTCTTCTTCTCCCACCAGCTATGAGTAAATAGCAGGGCAGACAGAGTTCTATAGCCTTGGATGGCAACTGGTCTACCACAGAAAGAAATGGCAACCTAATGTGGGAAAAAATCTGCCTCATCAGTCATGTACCGAAAGATACATGATCGCCTAAGCGTGTATCACACATGGCACCTGACTGACTGATGTAACTCTAAGAGAAAACAAAGACATAATCAAGATATTCCACACTACTTCAAATAAAAGGTTAAGAATGAAACCACAATCAGTATCAAAAATTACAATAACAGCTACTCGACTTGAGGAACCTATTTTCCTAAAAATCATCCCATGCTGTTACCCGATTTGGACAAATTTTGCGATTTCGCCCGGTATATGGCAGTGAATGTTGGGCAATCTCCTCACAGATGAAGTTTAAAGCAATAAAAATATGATTCTACAGAAGGATGATAAGAATACGATGGACTGAACCGACGAAGTTTTAGTGAAAATGGAAACGGAAAGTACACTTAAAATCAGAAAGGGACGGTTGAAATTTCTAGGTCGCATAATGAGGAAAGTGGGCTTGGAAAACTAGATACTCACAAGGCTGATTGAAGGCAAGAGGAAAACAATACATAACTTACCTAGCGAGCTTCAGTAAATGGATGGCGGAACTAGGTTTAGGAGAGATAACAAAAAGTGAAAATTTATTAAGAGCTACAAAGGGAAGAAAACTGTGGAGGTCCATGATCTAAATATTTAAACTGTCAGCTGTATGCAAACGCTTCTTCAGTTCAATAGTAAAAAAAAAAAAGGCTTTGGGCGAGTATAGCCTAAAATTCTTGGAAAAGATCATCCTTTTTGGAATATTATGGACTGGCGCTACAGAATCACAAAGAACTGTACCAAATAAAAAAAAACACGTCGTATGAAGACTATCAACAGTAGCAAAAACTAAAATGGATAGCACATGAAACTCGAAGAGAAAATAATAACTTAATCAAGGTGTTAACATTCTATACCACATGAAATAGACGGTTTCGGGAGGAGATCTCGATCAATAATGAAAAGAGCTATAACAGCTACTGAAATTTCTGGTCATTCAAGTTCATGTGACAGCGTTTCCCGTTACGAGGAGTGGTTAATTAATTTGAACCTTTTAAAACCTTTATTCTACAATCTACATTCAACATCATCACTTGATAAGACACCAGAGGTGTTGAAACAAAATGGCTATTTTTGTAGTGATTTTATAAAATATTTATGTTATAATTTTTAAATAAATAATTATATTCGCTCTACTCTGTATTGAGCACTCTTTTAAGAATAGTAATTTTGGTTATTGGAATTTATTCCGTATACACCAATCATATAGTTATATATATATATATATATATATATATATATATATATATATATATATATATATATATATATATATATTATAGGATATTACATTCAAACATATGTGCAGAACCGCTACATAAATGCATTCATGTTTCGATGCATATCATCGCATAGGCGGTAGTAAATGAGGGTTATTAATAATAGGTAATAATTGATGTAATATCCTATAATAAAGAATTATCACTCTGTAGCTGAAGTTTCTGGGACACATAATGAGGAAGGAGGGACTGAAGAATCTGATACTCACGAGTCGAATAGAGGGAAAGAGAGACAAGGGAAAACAGCGAGTGACATACCTGGCAGGCTTGAGCAGATGGATGACAGAACGTAGCCTGGGGGTGGGGGACGAAGCAGAGGGAAGGAACTTGTTGAGAGCTGCAAGAGATAGAAGGAGGTGGAGAGTCTTGATCGCCTACGTCCTGAAAGGACATTGCACATAGAAAAAAAAGAAAGTTGTAATGAGCCCTATTTTTAAATTAATATCGTGAACGTTTGAATTTATATTTTATTCAAATTTATATTTCATTTATATATATATATATATATATATATATATATATAGTAATTCATCGAGTCCAGAAAAATTTCTTCACTTATATATATAAGAAAAAAAAATTCGATGAATAATGAATTTTTACATGAATTATTTTTTATTTTAATTATAATTCATATTGTTTTAAATCTTTAAAAATTCTGCATTAATTTGTAGCGCTTAGATAATATTTCTAGTAAGTAAAAACTATACTTACTAATGAATGAATGGAAATAATGAATGGAGAAGCTTACTACTATACATCGGCCCACAGTATTGTAAAAAGAATTTTAAATTTTGTGTGTGCGTGTGTATAAACGTACCGATTTTTGTAAATACGGATGTCCATACACGACACTATTAGAAAATAAGTGCGTTAGGGAAACTATAGTTACCCTTACTCTCTTAAAATTTATTGGTAATTTTCTAACATTTTCCTCAACAAGAAAAGTAAGACTATAAAGCCGAAGTACTTGGAATTCAATAAAATATTAAATTACTTAGAATATTTTCCTAATTATTAAAGATTAATGTGTAGTTAATATATTGTATAACAAAGACGCTCACGTTATATTTGTCAAGTAATTTTTACAGTTATGTCCCCCTGTAGAAAAAATTTCCAAACATAAGTCTATCGAGAAAGTTGTCAACACCTCATGAAACACCCACCTTCGTGTTAAAAAAAAATGATATTTCAAACTAAAAGCAAATAATATTTGTTTCAAATCAGATTTAATTAATCTGATTTGAAACAAATATTATTTGCTTTTAGTTTGAAATATCATTTTTTAAAGTTTAATTAACTTTAAATCAGCTAAACTTTATAAAATAAAGTTTCAGAAAAGTACATTTTATTTTCGAAAAAAATTTAAGGAAGTGAATAAACTGAATTTAAATTAATTGAAATGAGTTTTTTATTATCAGTAAAATCAGTAAAATCGTTCATATTGAAAAATCTGTCAATACAACGTTATTTTATAAAGCTTTTTTTTTAAATTAAGATTTGCTAAAATGGCTGATTTTTAGTAATTTTGAAGATATTCCCAAAATAAAGAAATAAATAAAAATTCCAATCAATTTTAATTCGGTTTGAAATACAGCAAAATATTTTTCTCATTGGAAATTTTAAACTTCATCTATTGGCTTGAAATTAGAACTAAATTATTATGTTGGTGCAAAAATAATGACGTAATAATGTCGTTTTTGACGTACTTTTCTACGTCAAAAACGACATTCTTACGTCATTATTTTTGCACCAACCTAATAAAAGCTTCAAGAAAGATTTTTCCTTTTTAAAATTCATTTTAAGCCGTAGGCATTGCTTTTCTTTTGAGGCGCCTATACATACATATATATATATATATATATATATATATATATATATATATATATATATATATATATATATGTGTGTGTGTGTGTGTGTGTGTGTGTGTGTGTGTGCGCACACATGCGCAGACGTGTGTGTGTGTGTGTATACTTAGAAAGAGTAAAGATAGCCGAGATAGGTGTAGATTGCTCCTAGGAGAAAAGTCAGTTATATTAAAGCTAAGCATCGACATTAGATTGTTAAATAAAATGTCTGAGTTAATTAGTAGCTGTGGGCATAGTATTAAAAACCTATTGTGCCATCTGCCACCAGACTGTTGATTTTTCTCTGTTATTCGGTTAGATTAAAGTCGCTCGGACTCAAATACGTATATCTATACACGGATATTTTTTTTATTTTGCTTGTTTTCTCCACACACCCCCCCCCATTGTGGGCGGCTACTGTCCACGGGTTTATTTTCTGTCTTCTTTCCCTGTGTTATGTTTGCATAAATGTTCTGTTTCCCCGATATTCATTTGGCGTTCTAGTCGCTTGACGATCGCAGTAGGGTGAAACTCGAGGAGCGGTCTGCACATTGTTTCTTTCTAAGCCGTGACGCTGGGAAGCGTATCTACTCTACCTCGGCCATTTAGACCTAGGGTACAGTTTAGGCAGGTACCTGTCACATGTGCGAGACAACTCAACATCGCCGATTGAGCGCCTGCAAAACTCAGGACTGAGACAACTCAGCACCGAGACAATTCAGCACCAGAAACCCTTTTTTTTATAACTGAATAAAAGTAATTTATTAAGTATTAAAACCTTAATTAGTGAATATTTTTCTTCAAATAAGGCATTTAAAAAGATATTATGTCAAATATGAACCAGTTCTTTTTTTTTTGTTTTTAACTATTTTTAGTAAAGTAAATCGTAAAGAAATCTATTTTTTAATAAAGAAAATTAGCATATGAAAAATAATTCAATAAAACGCACTTTTTAAAATCATTTTTAATAAAGTAAATACAAAAATGCAAAACAAAGTTTCTTGTTTTTACTTATTTTTAATAAATTAAATCGTAATGTACTTTTAATAACGTATTATTTGTATGTCAATTCACTTTCATTTTAAACTCAATCGTCAAAACGATCCCGTCTAGCATGAAACAGACTGTCGCCTCTCGGTGTTGACTTCAATGTCCACTTTATATATATATATATATATATATATATATATATATATATATATATATATATAATTATTTATCGAAAATTATGACATAAATATGTTATAAAATCACTACGAAAATAGCCATTTTGTTTCAACACTTCTGGTGTCATATCATGTGATGGTGTTGAATGTAGAATAAACGTTTTAAAAGGTTCAAATCAATCAAACACCCCATCGCTAAGGGGAAACACTGTCACATAAGCTAGAATAACCAATCAAAATACGAGTATATGAGAATTCAAAAAACTTGACAACGAATTTTGGTTATAATAATGGTTTAATGCTTTAATGTAAGGGTTAGACTAAAATAGAATTCATTCTAACTAATAAATATTAAATTATACTATAAAATTAAAAATTAAAAATTACTAATTTTAAATTTAATCTGTATTAAGTGTAAAATTATTAAATTATTATATGAAGAAACTGATGGAAAAAATACATATGTTTTTTCTATTTATTTTGTTTTTATTGAAATTAAGTTGGAATAAACGTTAAGATCAAATGCTGCTCTGGACTCCGTTGCAATTTACATACATTTGGAGTGAAGAAATGGGCAGAGTAGGATGAAATCTTGCAAAAGACAATACATACACAATCAGATTATAATACAGAAACACACAGACATATTTGGATATATAAACACGCAAAAAAAAGCGACGAGACGGGAAATATGTTCACGACCCTTAAAAAAAAAAGGAAAAAGACAACAATATACACACACAATGAAAAGCACACACAAGCGACCATACACACACACACATACCGACAAAGACACTCACACACACACACATACATCCGACAGAATGAAGAAATTTGAAAAAAAAACAAACAAAAAAAAACAAAAATCCTTAAATGCAATTATGTTGTTTAAAATGAATGAAATGTCGACGTCTGACGTTTCGGTTTAATAAACCTTTTTCAAGACAATATTCATCATATTTATTAAATAAATATTAATTAAACACATTACATCCGATGCTTGCATCTATCAAATATCATGCAAAAACTGTGACCTAAAATATGTGGGTGAAACATGTAGGTCCGTAAAATCTCGTGTTTTCGAACATAAACGAGATATTCGCCTCGGAAATTTTAACAATGCTTTAGTTGTACACACAACTAAAGCAGATCATAATTTCGATTTCGATTCCGTGAAGGTATTAAAATATTTTCATAATAATCTCAGGAGGATTTATGAAGCAGGTATAATATCCATCTCACGCACGGTGAATACTAGACCTGGTTTCTTTAATATTTCCCCTTTTTTAGCGAGATTAATGCTCGACAAGCATACACATAAAAATTTTAGATCCTAATAGAATTCTTTTCATTTTCTTTTTCATTCAAAATAATCAAAATTTTTTAGGAATACGTTTTGAAAGCGTCGCCCATGTGACGACAACGTGACCATGCTAAACGGAAAGCTGATCATTTTAAAAATTTTCAGTTATCTGTTTTGGATAAGACTTGTTTTTTATGTCCATCGTCTTTGTCAAATTGAACTGAATTGTATTTTAATGAATATTGTCTTGAAAAAGGTTTATTAAACCGAAACGTCAGACGTCGACATTTCATTGATTTTAAACAACATAATTGCATTTAAGGATTTTTGTTTGTTTTTTTTCAAAATATCTTCATATATATATATATATATATATATATATATATATATATATATATATATATATATATATATATATATATATATATATATATATATATATATATATATATATATATATATATATATATATATATATATATATATATATATATATATATATATATATATATATATTATATATATATATATATATTATATATATATATATATTATATAGATATTATATATATATATATATATATATATAAATAAATAATATATATATATTATTTATTTAAAAATATATATATATATTTATAATTATTTATTTAAAATTTATTATTTATGTATATATAAATATATATATAATTTATATATATATATATAATTTATTATTTATATATATTATTCTTTATTTATTATTATTAATATCTATTTATTATTTATATATATTATTATTTATTTATTATTATTTATATTTATTATATATATATATATATATAATTTATTATTTATATATATATAATTATTTATTATTTATTATTTATATATATATAATTATTTATTTAAAAAATTATTATTTATATAATTTATTATTTATATATATATATATATATATATAATTATTTATTTAAAAATAAATAAATAATTATATTTATGCTCTACTTTTGTATCGAGCACTATTTTTAAAAAATGATAGCAAAAATACTAAAGAACTTTGGATTATTTACCTAACGAGTTCTTTCCTATTTTCTATATATTTTTTACACACACACACACTGACGATCGCTAAAGCGTGAAACCCAGGGTCACAAACTCACATCTATCCAACCAAATATGTTAGCTCTATCTCTGATATTGAGCGCTTTCTAATAAGTACCGCGCATATAATATATAAATAATTATACATATATATATATTTATTTATATTTATATTCACTTTTCACATATATAAAAATATATATATATATACAATGTAACCCGGATATAAGAGAAACCCGGATATAAGAGAGATTTTCTCTGGTCCCAAATTGTAGCCTGTGTTAATGTATATAAAATAGACCAAACCCGGATATAAGAGAAACCCAGATATAAGCGACTTCTTCTCCGGTCCCGACAACTCTCTTATATCCGGGTTACACTGTATGTATATATATATATATATATATATATATATATATATATATGTATAGTGGTACTCGCTTGGAAAAACCTTGGGTATTTCAGCTTGTAGTTGAATGAACAAACCAGTACCCCAGGAAAAAAGACGAACGAAAAAAGAAAGAATTAAGAACATGAAATTGAGGCGAAAACAATCGTCTAGAGTTCAAGCGCAGAGTCCAAAGAAAAAAAAACCCTCCAAAACGAGTAAAGAAACTACGTAAAGTGCTCAATACACGAAGTAGAGCAAATCTAATATAAACCTAAAGAACCAGGAAGCCTACCTAGGTTTCACCTAAACTGATCGTTAGGGTAAAACTGACCAGTTTTCCCTGACGATCCGTTTAAGTGAAACCTAGGTAGGTTTGCCTGGTTCTTTAGGTATATATATATATATATATATATATATATATAGGGTGACCCAAAAAAGGGGAACTTTTAATAATCCAATAAAACCACGAGTGATGGAAGAAAAATATTTTATTCATAGTAATTGAAACCTTAAAATATGCCATTTAAAAAACAATGATGGAATTTTCATTTCTTAAAAATTACGTCCTGTAGATGGCGTCCTCCTGTACGAATGCATTCTTGGAATCTGCTGTTGAGATTCCTCATGAACTACTGCAACATCTCAGATGGGATACTGTGAATTTCTTCTTGAATTCTAAATGGCGAAATGTTTACTTGCTCAAGTTCACCGTCTCGCAGTGTTGCCACTTGCTCATGTCTGGCAATACGCACTTCAAAAATTCCCCTTTTTTTGGGTCACCCTATATATATATATATATATATATATATATATATATATTTTTAGTTTTTTATTGTATTTTTTTCAATTTTCAAATAAGATATCGGGATTATCATTTCCGTTAAATTGTCCATTTCATGTTTTGTTCTCTTGTTTAGGACATAAACCTCGTACAACTTATGTAGAATTTTCATCCTGATGTACAATAGCTTATTCGAAAATTCTGTAAATATATTTCCAATAAAATTTTAGACTATTAATCGGCAAGTTAAACTGTGGAATAAAGAAATACTTGTGATTGACAAGGCTTCGATAAAGGTAAACTAACCGCCTATTATTAGCTTACGTTCCAATTTTGTACGTCTAGGCGACTGGCCGTCCTGGGTATGCCGATAAACTATATCCGCGTCCTGTGTAAGACGATAAACTACGTCCAACAGCAAGGCCTCTGATCAGGCGGTTTTGAAGAGCGTGGAAACACCTCTTAATTGCTGGTGATAGCATCTATTAAGGTCCCAGCTATGGGCAAATCGTTGACACCCAAACTTGTGTAAAAATAGCTTTTAATACCAGTTATACTTTGTAATAAAAAAAACTATTATCAGCTATCATTTTTGAAGGAAAAATTATTATCAGCAATATAAAAAAAAAGTTAAAAAAAAATACAATCAATACAAACAGCTATACATTCTTTGAAAAAAATATTCCCAGAAATAGATTTTTTAAGAAAAACATATTACCAGCAATAAAAATTTTGTCGGTATTAAATAACCCATTGAGGTTGATATGCCGTAAAACAAACAAACCAAACCAAACCAAACCAAACCAAACCAAAACTAGGTGAATGAATTCTGACGTAATCGCATTATCGTTTATCACTCACTCTTAGACTTATTGTCTTGGATGAAGAATGTTTTCTGATATTTACATGAAAATGTGGATTCCATTTTATTTGACCAAGTTCGAGATTATGTGATTCTTAAAGTAAAATTTATTATTTAACTAAAATTTAGTAAAATTTATTATTACAACAATAATACAGATATATTATTTAATTCAAATAGAATCTATTATGTAAATTGAACAAAATGTTTTAGCAATGTAAATTTTAGTAAAATTTATAATCAAATTCAAGTAAAATTTTTATTATTACATTCAAGTAAAATTTATTATGAAAATTTAATAAGATTTATAGTCAAATTTAAGTAAAATTTAGTTAGATGGATTATTAAATTCCAGTAAAATTTACTATGAAAATTTCGTTAAATTTATTATTAATGCAAATAATAATATAATATCATGAAATTCAAGTAAAATTTATAATGAAATTCAAGTAAAATTCAGTAAAATTTATGAAATTCTTGTAAAATTTAGTAAGATTATGTTGTTTCTAACCCGAGCTTCATCAGAAATCAGAAGATATGTGTCAAGGTTTGTGGTTAAAAATTTTTAGGAAAAACTGTCGACGATTATTATTAGCGAATCGGGAATTCGTTATCAAATGGAATGCATTTGTCTTTTACTCTCATTCCTTTGTTTTTCTTTTCCTTTTTTTTTTAAACACTTCTATTTGCTTTTTTCTCGATTTTTCTTTCTTTCTTGGACGTTTTCTCCGTACCATTATTCATTCTTTATTTCTTTTATTCGATTTTTTTCCTCTCTCTCTCTCTTTCTTCCTTTTTTCGTTAATACTTCCTTCTTTTTTGTTCTTTTCTTTCGTGCTTTTTCTTAGCACACTTCATTCATTCTTTATTTATTTCTTTCGTTCTTTCTTTTTTCTTTCTTTCTTTCTTTCTTTCATTCTTTCTTTCTTTCTTTCTTTCTTTCTTTCGTTTGTTAAAACGTAGTCACGTGACAATGACGTCATCGTTTCATTCAGCTTCTCCATTTTCCAGGAAATGAGATCGGCGCGGAAGATGCGTCGACCATTTTGTTCTCATATCCGCCTTCGTCAGCGCCAACAGACCCGATGACGGAATACCACTGCACACTGTGCCCCACTTAGGAATAACATTCTTAGATGCTCTCTCTCTCTCTCTCTCTCTCTCTCTCTCTCTCTCTCTCTCTCATCATTTTACATTCTCTTTCTCTCTACTCTTCTGATATTTGTCTCTCTACATCGAAACACATATTTTGGTTTATTCTTCTCATTCTCTCCAGCCTCTCATTCTCCAGTCTCTTCCTCTGCCTTTGTGCGTGTCTCTCTCTCTCCCCCTCTCTCTCTCTCTCTCTCTCTCTCTCTCTCTCTCTCAGTTGCTGTCATTCTTTCTTTCTCCATCTATTTCTACAGGCTTTATTTGGTTTCTCTCTCTCTCTCACACTATCTATCTATCTATCTATCTATCTATCTATATATATATATATATATATATATATATATATATATATATATATATATTTCTGGCTTTCTCTCTTTCCTTCTTACACCAGTCTCTTTGTCTCTTTCTCGGTTTCTGCCTATTTCTTTGTTTCTCTCTGTCTCTCTCCCTCCACACACACACACACACAAGTTTTGTTCGGTTCAAGCGATAAGGACAGATCATTTAATTTTTTATATTTTCCAATTTCTGAATGAGTTATTTGAATAAATTCTTGTTGCTTAAGTACATTACACACACACACACACTCACACAAGTATATATATATATATATGAAGAAATTTTGAAAAAACAAACAAAAAATCCTTAAATGTAGTTAAATGAAAGAAATGTCGACGTCTGACGTTTCGGTTTATTAAACCTTTTTCAAGACAATATTCATCAAAATACAATTCAGTTCAATATGACAAATACGATGGACATAAAAACACAAGTCTTATTCCGAACAGATAACTGAAAATTTTGAAAAAAAAAAAAAAAAAAAATTTTCAGTTATCTGTTCGAATAAGAAAAAATGTCCAAAAAAAACTGAATTGTATTTCGAATATTGTCTTGAAAAGGTTTAATAAACCGAAACGTCAGACGTCGACATTTTTTTCATTTAACTACATTTAAGATTTTTGTTTGTTTTTTCAAAATTCTTTCATTCTGTCGGATTTATATCCATTTACACTTGCTTATATATATATATATATATATATATATATTATATATATATATATATATATATATATATAAAATGGGATGACAGGGTCAAGAATAATGCAATACTGAAGAAATGTAACAGGTGGGCTGGTCATGTTGTGAGAATGGATGAGCATAGGCTTCCAAAAAAGGTGTTGTATGGACAACTGCCAAACTCCAAGCATTCAGTTGGACGTCCACTCTTATGCTACAAAGATAAATTGAAAGACAACTTGAAACGTCTCAAATTTAATGTGAAAACCTGGGAAGCCCAAGCATCAAACCGAAAAGAGTGGTGTAAGATATGTTTTATTAAGTTAAAGGCTTTTAAAGATAGTAGACTGGTGCACTGTGATCAGTTTCATCAAGTTCTGAAGCAGAGGCGTCATCAAAATCATGCTTTAACAAATTGTGGAGTATCATATATATATATATATATATATATATATATATATATAGATATAGATAGATAGATAGATAGATAGATATATGTTATATATATATATATATATATATATATATATATATATATATATATATATACACACACATTTTTTTTTCTTTAATAAATGATTGTCGAGTGTGCTGTCCGTTAGAGAAAATAAAATACTGTTTAAAAATAAACGGAGCGTCTACACAAATACGGGTAGTCACTAAAAATAACGTTTAAATGTTCAAAGGAATAAAAATATGCCGGGTTAAAAAATAAAATCCACTTATATATATATATATATATATATATATATATATATATATATGCGTCTGTCTAAAAGGAGCAGAGACAGAAGGGAAAAAGATGGAGATATGGAGAACTCGACTCAATGGAAAATACATTAGACAATAAGCAAGGATATTTAACATCACATGTTGGACCGATCATCTAGCATCATCTGAATTTTACCCAACATGAACAACATCCACATTAGCAACACGAACCTAATTCACTTCTGTACGCTTGTTTTGTTTTGTTTTGTTTCTTTTTTCTTTTACCTAATTTCTGTAAGGAAATTAGATTTTAACTATTTTCTTCTTTTTTAATGTTTTCGCCTCATGCAAGGCTGTAAAGCCACTATGACTTCAGGGGTCGCTGAGTGTGAAAGAATAAGAAAGCAAAGAATCATTATTAAGGAGCGAAAACAATAAAAGAGTAATCGAGAAAACAGTAGATAACGATTAACATCGCATTTAAATTTAACTTAAAGTTGGCTGGAAAGCACGGAGACGGAAGAGTGTTCCACAAGCGAGAATTGCGAGAAAAGAAGCTGTTAGCATAGAACTTAAGTTACAACTAGCCGACTGTTATAGTGGAGCACACCTATTCTATAGTTAATAGACTCTCCCACCTATAATAAGTAGGAGTAGTAGGAGTAACGGGGGTCGCGCAGTCGGTCGGTCAGTCAGTCGATGTCGGACGACCGTTAGTCGGATACTAAAGTATCAGCGACCACAACTAGATTTCTCGGCGTCATTACCTATTATATCAAGTTCCTAACGTTTTGTACGTCGAACCTATTTTAGGACCGACTTGGTACAAATACAAGCCTCCACTGTGAAACCACTCCACAACACACTTGGCGACGAGGTATTCGGATTCATACGGTGGAAGCAAAAAAAATTCACACTCCATAAAACCGACTCAACTGTAAATTTGATTAGACCTTCTTGCTAACTTAGTAATTCGAATAAAATAGCGAAGAGGAATATTTATTTTATAAAATTTACAAAAATGTGGCACAAGTCCAAAAGTGGGGGGATGAGAAAAGGACGGTATTCTTCTGCCTTATAATTAAACTTAGCTAGTGATAATCACTGACCCAAATATACTGCAATATTCCTAACGCCAAAACAACACATTCTTCCTTGTCATTCTTACTACATCCACCGTAATGCCTCAGAAACTCTATGAAGTCCTAATCGGTCAATTATTCTCTGTGGGGTAGTGGAATAAAACAGTAAATTAAAAATCTAAGCCCCAATATGAAATAATGTTTTTACACGAAACTAAATAAAATAGTGTTAGTAATAAAAGCCCCACAAAAGCATCAGTTAACTGGACGTAAATTAATGCGGAATTTTAATATAAAACACTTATACGTCCTACCATTCTCTCAGACACACTCATTCAAACATAACAACAAATACGAAAATCACACCCGACAAACGTAAGGTGCACCGCATCTACTAGAGAACTGACATCTCTGGTCACCAAATAGGGGAGGGTGTATTAAACAACATAAAGTTGGGACACAAATAAAAGAGGTCAATGAGCTTACATCCCTATCGTACCTCGTGTTTTCGATATAACAGAGGGAAATAAATAAGAAAGACAAACTTGTAGGTAAGTAATAAAATAGAAGGTTTACTACTACACGAAGGTACACTTAGCAATTGATCAACTCGGTATTTACCCGAGCACCCCATAGAGCGGGATATCGCACAAGGTCGGTTTAACGCGGGTTCTTCCACGACCGTAAGCCCGGGCAAAAATTCCCTGTGTACCCCGTAATAACAAGTTCGTGCTTGCCTACCTCCACAGAAGAGACTCTGCCCTTCGGCATAGCCTCATCTAGGTTAACCTCTGCCCGAAAGTAGAAAGTTCGACAAGCACTAAGAGCTTAGCGCGCGGCTAAGACAATAATACTGACTCGGTATTTACCCAAGTCCTCTCCATAAAGGCGGGATGTACCACAAGGGCGTTTTTTTTTTTTACGTGGAGCGTTCCGAACGCGTAGGCTTGGGCAAAAATTCCCCGTAGACCCCAGACGAGACTCTGCCCTTCGGCATAGCCTCGTCTGGGTTCCTCTCTGCACTAAGACGCAAGGGTTTACTGGGAGTGAAAGTGAATGAAGCGATTTTTGAAAAAAAAAAAAACGGAAACCCAATCCTAAACAGGAAACAAGGGATAAACCTCTACTCCTGTTCAAAAGAAAAGGAAAGTGTGTGAACCAGACAATATGTGAACCTATTATTTTTATTTTATTTCCATTGATTTCTGGTGTGTACTTTTTTCCGGGTCCCAAACAGTGACTTAAAGTCAGAGATGGCATCATGACATTTTGTACTGAGCATTTTTTGATAAAAAAAAGATGGCACATATCTTACATAGATAAAGCCCTTCGTAAGTTGTGGGTTGTTCTTGTGAGTAAAATTTACTGTATTTCTTTAAGGCATACGCTACCAGGAATCCCTTCAATGAGTCAATCGGAAACTTTTCCAGTCCACCTGAGGGCTTCAACTACAACTGAAATTATTGATGTTCCCATGAGCCACATTTTGAGATTTCGATTTCAAGGTCCTTGTATTTTGATAGTTATTTGAAGATCTTCAAAGATACATTACGATCTGCAGAGACTGCCATAGCAACGAAGGTACATTTTGTGTTTGCAGTCTCTGCTCACGATATCCGGGCGATTAGCTTTGATTGTTCTGTCAGTGTGTATTGTGTAGTCCCATAAAATTGTTACAGGACCTATCTCTATAACCCGGTCTGGGTTACGGAGATAGGGCCTGCAACATATCAACATACCTGTTCATACCAATTTCTTGCAGTTTCCTTTCCGTAAAAGTTGCATATTTTCCAATGCAGATATCGGCATATTTTCTGCCATACCGGGTGCCAACGAAGGGCTTTATCTATGTAAGATATGTGTGATTTTTTTTTTTTTTATCAAAAAATGCTCAGTGGAAAATGTCTTGATGCCATCTCTAACCTTAGGTCACTGGTTGGGACCCGGAAAAAATGAGTACACACCAGAAATCAGTGCCAATACCGTTCAACCTGATACAAGATGGTCAATTGTTTCTGAATATTTATCACAGAAACATGCATTTGGGGCTAAGATAATTTTTCAGTGTGTATGTTTTGTAATTTCTAGTTAGCAGCCATTGGTCCTGTGTAGAAAGAATAAAACCTTTGGTTTCAGCGTCTGACCTTGCACTACGTGGCCACTGGTGTGTATGGAGTTTGTCAACATCAACTTGTTTGGTAAGGACTGAATATTGACCGTGAAGAAGTTTATTATGCCATCGTTTTAGTATCTGGTTCATTGCATTTGTCTTTGCTTTCTTTATTAATGTTTTTTTTACCACTGGGGCAGGGATATATGTTTTAGTTGCATTTCTTCACCCACTTGAAATTCCATTTTGAATTTCTTGGCTTCCTTTATTACTGAATACAGTTTCTTATGTCTTTTGTGTTCTTTGACACAGATCATCATTAAGTCTTCTGTAGTTTCCAGATATCTTTGAAGTCCGGTTGTTCTAGTTTTGTAAGATTATTATCATTATCATTGTTATTTTTATTTCCTTTTAATTTCTGGCGTTTACACATTTCTTTCCGGGTCCCACCCAGGGACCTAATGATAGAAATGGCATCATCCCACTTTCCACTGACAAGAAAAAAATTACATAGATAAAGCCCTTCGTTAAGTGTGTACTGTATTGTCAGAACAATTTTTTGTATCTCTTTGAGGCATGGACTTCCAGGAATCCCTTCAGTTATCCTACTGGAATCTTTTCCAACCAATCCTAGGGCTACAACTACAACAGGGATTGTTGATGTTCCCATGTGCCACATTTTTGAGATTTCTATTTCAAGATCCTTGTATTTTGACTGCTTTTTGAATATATTATTATTATTATTATTATTATTATTATTATTATTACTACTACTATTATGTTAGTGTAACACTTTGTTGTAGTCAATGGGAATTCTGTTCTTGGGATATGGTATATAGAAGACTCCTCACAACTCAATAACTTTTCGGAGAATTCTCGCTGAGTAAGTCAAAGCAGTTTTTCTGGAGGTTGACAATTTTGGTCTCAATTTCAATTTTCCATAACCGTTTTTTCAGTTTTTTCAGCGATGTCCCAAGCGCAGCCATTACTACCGGAATTACTTCAACAATCATGTTTCATAGTTTATTCAACTCCCGAGCCAGATCCTGGTATTTTTCAATCTTTTATTTTCTGTTCCACTCTTGTATATTATGAAACAGCAAAATCAATTATTTAAGACTTACTACTTTCCGTCTCTCTAAAAGTAAAGTCTGTTCTTCGTGCTTCAGCGGATGTGCGGTTGGTGTAATGGATAGCGGCTGAGAATAAGAAATCCGAGTGCCGAGTTCGAATTCGAGATTATTACTTTCATTTACGCGCAAATGCAATTCGGAAATGGATGAACCCATCCCCCCCCCATTTAGATAGTGAGGTTTACTTGAGAACACTGGCGACTGTAAGCAACTTCATATAGTCTGAAATATGTTGTATTTTCTCATAATTTTTAACGTTTTCTTCCCAATTGTATACCAGGTACCTTTTTTCGATTTCTTCTTCTTGCATCATCATCAGCATCATCATCATCCGTAATTAATTATTCTATTTTCTCACTTCTTTTTTCTTCTTCATTATTTTCATTTTTCTTCATCATCATTATCCTCCTCTTATTATTATTATTCATTCAATTTTTTTTATTTTCACAGGTCTTCTTTTTTTCATCCATCATCATCATCATCGTCATCATCATTTTTTTATTCAATTCTATATTCTAACTTCTAGTTCTATTTTCATTCTTTTTCCTCCTTTTTCTTTTCATTCTTCTTCATCATCATTATCCTCTTATTATCATTATTATTATTCATTCAATTCTTTTTTATTTTTCACAGGTCTTCTTCTTTTTTTATCCGTCATCATCATCACCATCTTTTTTATTCAATTCTATTTTCTCACTTCTTCTGCTTCTATTTTCATTCTTTTTTATTTCTTAATCAGGATCACCATTTTCATTCCCTTCTCCTTTTTCTTCTTCCTATTTTCACTCTTTTTACGTTTTCATTCTTGTTCTTCATCATCATCATTGCCATCATCATCATCATTCAGCTTCTTCCATTTCTGTTCTTCTTCTATATTCATTCTTCTTCTTGTAGCCATTCTTTTCTTCTTGTTTTTACTTTTTCCTCCTCTTGTTCCTTTTTTCTTGTTCTTTTTTTATTGTTGTTGTTGTTCTTCTTCTTCTCTTCCTCTTCCTGCTTCTGCGTCTCCTCCTCCTTCTCCTCCTCCTTCTCCTCCTCCTTCTCCTCCTCCTTCTCCTCCTCCTCCTCCTCTTCTCCTTCTTTCCTTCTCCTCCTCCTCCTCCTCCTTCTCCTCCTCCTCCTCCTCCTTCTCCTCCTCCGTCGTCGTCGTCGTCGTCGTCGTCGTTTTCTTCTTCTTCTTCTTCTTCTTCTTCTTCTTCTTCTTCTTCTTCTTCTTCTTCACTTTCCCAAAGGCCACATTTTGCTGCTTCGTTCGGTTTTGACACATTAGCACTTAATTAATTGCATTCACTGATTCAATTAATTAATCACGTTTTGGGCACAAATAAGTCGACGCTTTCAGGTCACATGACGGGAAAAACTTGTCATTCGAGATTTGAGGCTTATGAAAATAATCATTTACATTTTATTGCCGAATGGGCAGTACTTAAAATTGGATGCATGTCATAAATAAATCATCTGTAAAGACTATAGACGTACATACATACATATATATGAGAAAGTAACGATTAGTCTCCACACACACACACACACATACACACATACATATATATATATATATATATATATATATATAAACGTTCCTGTTTTTTTGCTGAAAGGTTCTCAGTCCAACCAAGAATATATTTCTCCCTAAAATTCTGAATGTTGCTCATTTGCTCAAAGTTTTGGAAGTGGGCCGAGCCGAAAGCACTTCAACACAAACTTATCTATCTATCTATCTATCTATCTATCTATCTATCTCTATCTCTATCTCTATCTCTCTCTCTCTCTATCTATCTATCTATCTATCTATATATATATATATATGCATGTTTCATCAAAAACGACAGACAAGGTACTACGGTTAAGCTTTTTATTTAATTCTTCAGCTTAATTGAGTGTGTTCATTATGTGTATGTCTTAGTGTGTTGTAGGGATGTTTTTCATTTCCGAATACGGTTAGCACATAAAGCTGAAAAATTCAATCATCCTTAATAATGGCTAAAGGTATAGACGAAAGCGCTCGGAAATATAAAACATTTGGACTGTTTTTACACACCCTTTGTCCAGAAAAGAAAGCTCTTGTTCGAACACAAGAAAAATTAAATAAAAAGCTTAACCATAGTACCTTGTCTGTCGTTTTTAATGAAACATGCACAAAAGAAGGATTGCTGCCTAAATATACAAATATATATATATATAGATAGATAGATAGATAGATAGATAGATAGATAGATAGTCACCTCGAAATGTATTGGAACAAGGTAAATTCATTTGGATTTGAGTTCAGAATTTCAGCTTCTATTTCCTAGTCTTTTAGATGTGTTAAACAGCTTAGGACATAACACATTTTGTATAAGATCACCCCATTTTTAGGTGAGCAAAAGTTGAAGAACACATAGTCCTAAAGCAAATAACATTTAATATTTGGTTGCATAACTCTTGCTTGCAATAACTGCACGAAACCTGCAACCCATTGACATCAACAAACTGTTGCGTTCTTTATTTCTGAATCTTTTCCAGGCTTATATTCATCTCCTCTCCTCCGAAGGTTTGCAGACGAACCTTTGTGCAATTTTTCAGTCCACATGTCAGGATATACAGAAAATGTCTGTCAATTATGGTGTTTTCTTTATTTGTATGATAAGTTAAAATAAACAATTTATGTGTTTTTTATTAGTGGATTTTTATCGTTCTTTGCATGTGTGTACGTGTGTACGAATGTGTTTCTGTATGTGTATACGCCTGTACGTGTTCGTATGTGTACATGTGTCGAATTTCGTAGTTATTTCTTTATGTTCATAATTTGTCTTCTTATGCTCTCTCTTTATTCCTTGTCTTAATTTTCTTTATCTTTCGCCTTTGAATTTCAAAAGTAACAAAGATTCGCAACTCGTCGAGAGCGCCTCGTTACGCCTGCATGGTCTCACGCTCTCCACTGACATGAGGTGGAATAAATACATTGAATCAATCGCTTCATCTACCGCAAGGAAAATTGGTTCTCTGTGTCGCGCCAGAAATTTTTTCTCTCCCGATTCCATCCTTCACATCTATAAATCAACCATCCGTCCTTGCATGGAATACGGCTGCCATATATGGTCTGGTGCCCCCGCTGTACGTCTCTATGTCCTCGACAAAAATCCAGAGACGAATATGCAATGTGATAGGTCCTGATCTGGCATCTAGTCTACAATCGCTTTCCCATAGAAATGCCGTGGCTTCCCTCTGTCTTTTCTACTGATATTTTCACGGCAACTGTTCGAACGAGTTGCTTTCTCTGGTTCCCAGACTGCATGAATTTAAGCGTACTACTAGACTGGTATCTAGGTCTCACCTTTTCAATGTCGAAACGTTTAAATGTAACAGTCTCTTCTACTCAAACAGCTTCTTCTCCCGTACTTCCCGTCTGTGAAACTCCCTTCCCCTTACTTGCTTCCCCGATGACTCTAATCTTTAAATATTCAAATGTAGTGCCAATCGACGTCTGACACCCTCAGCTTGTTCCCTGTCCTTCTCTTTATCCTTTCCTTAAACACACCTCTTTACTCTTGTTCTCAATCCTCTCACACCCTTTGCGTGCTAGTAGCACTCCCGCCTTGCTTGGGGTTGCTTTTAAAAAAATCTGTGGTCAGAGACGACTTATAATTAGCTTTATATCCAAAATATTCTGGGGTTTTCTAAAGTTTTCACAATATATATGCATTCCATTTTTTACTTTATTTCTTGTTTAAATAATAATTATCATTTTGAATTAATACTCATAAATATATTTCTGGTGGACTCTCCCGTCGTATTCGACGTATGAGGTTCAGCAAACCAGTTCCTAGGAACCGCCAACCAGACACCAGCACATGTGATTTGATTATAGTGGTGAAGGCTTTGTGCAAAACCATCCACACTTTTTGAAGGGCCAAATACAGAGACCTGGTGCACTACATGCCACAAGGTCCCCAGACGACCCTCCTCAGGTTTTAACTTATCTTTAAGTTATCTTTCTCCTAGACCAGTTGCCATCTAAGGCTATAGAACCCAGTCTGCCCTGTTATTTACCCATAGCTAGAGGAAGAAGAAGGGGATTCATACCTTTCCCAAGGGTATTAGTACGTAATTGAATGTAATGGATTCGACTGGAATAATACAGGCAAAAAATCCGTTGGTATATAATCCAAGTGGGTCCTAATAATATAAAATATTAAAACTGATCCACGAAAAGAGCTCAATGTATTTATTATAACAGAGCATATAAATTACACAACAGAAAATCAAAAATAATCTCATGGGTATAGTCTATTTCAACTGACGCCGAGTACGTTTGTCTTATTCAACCCAGACGGATGGAACGTATTCAGTGTCGGAACAAGAGATTTAAAATTTAATATTTATCAAAGACGGCAGTTGAAAAATTGATGCAGAGCCTAGCCATTGGTTGGCTTTTTCAGTTTTTCAGCTGTATTCATCTTCTGAAGGAGCTGCGTCAGACTAAGACTATGACGTCCATTCGTTCAGAAGTAATCCAAACTGTATTCAGTATAGAACTGTTTTCGAGCAAATGAATCCTGTAGGTTTTAGAGAGGACAATACTTTATGGAAATGCGTGGACTGATGCTACATAATTACAATAGTAAGGATAACTATAAAATTAGCCGTTTCCCTACAAGGAAACATTTAGCATTGATTAACCGAGCAACCAATATTAATAAATAGCATCGCCAAGGCAGAAACTTTCATATGGTTGTCATGCACGGCTTCAAAGTCGTTCAGAATTCACCTCTAGACAAACGCTATCTCATATCAAAGATTAAAAATAGCTTCGAGCAAATGCAACCCATTATTTAAAACAAATAAATATGTAAATAAGTTATCAATGTAAAATAAATTTTAGAAACGATATTTTTTTAAAAATTCTCAAATTACCATATTAGTCAAAAAACGCACTCTCTTAAATTTAAAAAAAAAAATTCAACCTTAGCGTTGCGACTGCACGCTCCAAAAGTTTTCATCCGTTAACAATAACACATTTCTAAAAAAAAAAAAAAAAAAACATTTCGATTCGCATTTAAACTTTCGTCTCTGATGCTGCCTGGATTTACTAAAAACAAATTAATTTCCATGCCTGAAGATGACTGAATGTACAGTCGAAAGTACTTGCGTATTACAAAAAAGACCATATACAACTTATAATTATTAAAAACAAGGATCATAACATTCATCGAGTGATTTGTAGGTTAATGCAACTTTAAAATTTTGGTTTGCGAAGAGATTTCGCCCTTTTATATCATTAACTTTACTAATCGACTTTCTGTATGAATAATTCATTGTAATATTAATTGAACTGCACCACATATTTGATATATGAAGAAATATACTCTTAAGGTGTGCTATATTTATGGGATAAAGTGCTTAAATCAGAGATATAGCGTGTGTAAATATAAAAGTGAACATTGAAGTCAACACTTAGATGGCCTGACAATTGCGTCTAGCATGAAACAACCTGTCGCCTCTAATTGTTGACTTCAATGTTCACTATATATACACACACACACATATATATATATATATATATATATATATATATATATATATATATATATATATATATATACTCGACTGTCCCGTCGAAATTCAACGTATGAGGATCAAACAGATCAGTTCCTTGAAACCAACAGCCTGACAACAGCACATGAGATTTGATTATAGCGGTGAAGGTTTCGTGCAGGACCATCCATTTTGAAGGGCCGAATACAGAGACCTGGTGCACTACGTGCCACAAGGTCCCCAAATGAGCCTCCACAGGTTTTGAATTCAGAGTTGTCCTTCTCCTAGCCATCCAAGGCTATAGAACCCAGTCTGTCCTGCTATTTACCCATAGCTGGGGAGAGAAGAAGAGGATTCACATTTTTCCCAAGGGTATTAGCACGTAAGTGAATGTAAGTGGATTCGACTGGAATTCGAAATCGGCTTTCCGATTCGTCCAAGCCATATCCACCGTGCCTCCTTATATATATATATATATATATATATATATATATATATATATATATATATATATATATATATATATATATATATACAGGTAACAATGGATGAATTGTTTTCTAGATTACGCAAAAGTGAAAATAACACTGACATCTCATTTTAACAGATATATCTGTCAAAATTACACAAAAACATATTGATTTACTCAATAATAAATTTATTCAATAAAATTAATCTCCAGACGACTTCAAAATCTGCTGCAACTCTTCTTTCCTTGTTTTAGTTGATGAATGTTGCCATAATCCTTGCAATTCAGTTCAGCTTTGGTGTTACAAGCAGTTTTATTGGTCTCTCGCTCACCTGCACCCCACACATAATAACCAAGTTGGTGCAGTCTGGGGAGTAAGGTGGCCAGATGTAAGAGGCGATGCGGTCGCAGAAATTGTCTGACAGCCATGACTGGGTTCCCCTGTATATGTGTACTATGGTGCAGAATCTTGTTACCAGACATAGGGTCTCCAAGCAGTCACCATCTTGACCCAGGACAGCACTCTCTCAAGGCACTCTGTGGGAAGATAAATGGAGGCATAATTTCGCCATCACCAGTGATAACTCAAAGCACCATGATATTGACTGGATAGATCACCCAACTCTTTCCGAATCGTCTTCACTGTCCTCAGATTGACACCGAAACACACAGAAATGTTCGTACTGGAGCTTCCAGCACGAATGCCAAGCAATACAGTATGCCGTTTCAAAATTTATAGAGGAGTGAATTACTTCATGGGGCTTCTTTTTTTTTCACAAACGATGCCTAACTTACTTACCATACTCCGCCGTCGACAAAATCATGCG